TAAATCTAATACCTTGCACTACAACACATTGAAAGCCCTTTGCAGGAATCCTAGCCTGTCTGTGAAATTGTTGCTGCCTTAAAAAGTCTTTTTTATTTTAAGGCTGTTCATGGACTTAGAAACCAAGGTGATAGATGTGCATGGTTAACTAGGGAAAGGCAGTGATAGAGTTTCATCGTGTGGAGAAAGGTAGCCATGACTGACAAGACATACAGGTCAAGAATGACATAGACACTGACATGGGATCAGATGATGACTGCTGATTTATCTTGGCAGACAGATACATAGATAATAAACTGTGATCAGTGCATGGGCAGTCTATCACCAAACAGTTTACTATTCTGAGCCGCAAAAATCACTTCAGCACAGTTAAGAACTGTTGAGAAAAGAGGAAGAAAAGATTTTTTGCAGGTCCAGAAGTTTCTTTTCCCTTCCCAGAAAGGGAGAAAGCCCAACATCTTACCTCCAAGTGTTTTCCTGGTGCAGGCTGGCTTTCAACAATTGCTCAAGGTTCACTAACCTCCTACCAGATCTCTAACGTCTAAGACTGCCTGTGACTACTTGATCACACCAGATCCCGCAAGGCATCATCCACACCACATGGCTGCAGAAAGTGTTTGTCAAGGCTGTGACAGCTGCCAAGTTATGTCTGTCTTCATCTAAATGAAACTGGCAAGTTCTACCTAAATTCAGGCCTATAAAGCCTTTTGCTGCTCCCAGTGTGTCTTTCACCACTTAAAAGTGGAGAGAGAGAGGCAGCGCGGTCTCACCCAGGGCATCCATATACACACATCCCTTCACATGAGCCCAGTCAAGTCCCAGTGTGAATTTCAGCTGCAGACAATAGCTTTATGATCGGCCTGGGGGCACAGGATAAGCTAATGTGCATTTCACAACTCTGAGAAAGTTGAAGCAGCTTTGACAGCTGACATCAGTTGAAAAACTGTGCAGATGTACCTCTGGTGTGATGACGGGAAAGAGGCAAGGTTGTCCTAGCTGTGCTGAAATATGCACTCCCCTTGACTTCAGCGTCTTTTTATTCTAACAAACGGCAATTCTCCAACGTCAGGATTTGTTTTTATGAAGAAAGATGCTGCTAATGACCTGGTGTTGCAGATGTATGGCTAATTTGGGGGGGGAGAGTGGGGTTCACTGAAGGAACAGGCTTGTCAGCTGTCACTTGTGGTGAATAATGTGCTTTGAATTGAATTTCAGACTCTAGAGCTGAATAGGTGTGGGCCATTCTATAAACATAAAAGCATCAGGTTAAGCATTTGTGTAGTGTTGTGTCTATATTGTAAGGCTGATTTCTGCTCTCCTGCTTTGCATGATTTGATTGGAAGGCATGAGGATGCAGTGTGGTTACAGAGCGGCGTGTATGTGCTAGGTCTTGCTGTGAGTCGTCACCAGACCTGCTGTTGAAAGCAGAGGAGTGTGTAACGCGCATCTTTCTGACGCATCCCTGCTGTTTTCTTTTTTTCCTCGCTCTTTCACAGTGGAAGCAATACATTTGGGAAGTCTTATCGCTGCACAGGGTTATATCTTTCCGATCTCAGACCATGTCCTTACCCTGAAAGATGATGGGACATTCTATCGTTTTCAGGTTGGTGAGCCCCCTGCCCTCCATGTGGCCCCTTTCACTATCCCTGCAGTAATACCGCTGAAATCCACACGCTCTTTATTCCTAAGCATTGGTAAGGTCCATAAATAGCCAGCAGATTTTTTTTTTTAGGGATTGCAGCTGTCTTGGTAGAGGTCTCAGGAAGTTCTGAAGTCTCATCAAAAAGGTCTGCTTTAGAATCCCAAAGCGCTCTCTTCTGCTTTCAGGCCCACAATTTTTACATAAATGAACAAATATGTCCTGTGATTATTTTTGACGTGTGATTTCAAGCCTGTTATGTTTAAAGTTGAACTAAACCAGTAGTGGAACATCATCCTGTATCTTGAAGAAAACTGTTTTCAGCTTCTAACCCTAGCAGGGAATTGAGTAGCCATTCTCCTGTGCAAAATGGACAAACTTGGAGTTGAGCATTCACAGTCTGGCAAAACAGAAAAATTCACATTTTTATCTTGGCTGCGGATTTGTTTGGAAAGGGACAAGTTACTCGCTTTGATTCTGCTACTGAGAATGTGTAACCTTGGCAAAGTCACCTAAACTGGGATACCTCTATGCCTCAGTGTCCTTGTGTTCCTAGATGTGTTGAATTTTTAAAGAGCCTCTGCTTGCGTTCCATGCCCTTTCCAAAATCTGCTGCCCTGGTCTTCCTAGCTAACTGAGTGCTTGTGCTGCAACCACTCCTTTTAGATACATTGTTTAACTTTAAAAGTAGCAGTAACTTCAATCCTGAAGTCCTGCTGCGTAATGTTCCTACCTGAATTTGTGATTTCCTGTTGCATGGTCCATGTCAGCTCCCACATCTTTCTTGTGACTTTTCTTCGGTTCACTCTCCCGTTCCTCCTTTTTCTTTGTTTTTCTCTTTAGTTTTTATTTGAAAAATCTGTTTTCATCTTGGCATCTTTGCGTCTGATGTTGCTGCCACTCGCACCCACCGTCTTGCTGCTAATATGGTATTGTTACCCTATGAGACCTGTGACACAGTAGGGAAAAAAAGAGGAGATCACAGACCTCCCCTGGTCTCTCTTTGCCCTCTGGTTACCTGCCATCCCTCAGACTAAGATTTTCATGGCAGTTGCCCTGCTTTTCAGAAAGTCCTTCTCCTTTCATACAGCACTTGGCAGAAGCAGGGGTAATACCATTTGCTTATCTAGTTGTATTTTTCTCCATTTTAAAAGAAAGACCCCCATAGGACGGATAATTGTTAAGTTGTCCTCTGCAGCTCTCAGTTTTGAAGACCTACTTCAAAAGTAAGGTATAATTGAATTATTTTTCTTATTTTTAAGCCCATGTAAACTACATCATCCAATTGTCTTAACTGCTCATTGACTTTCCTTTTCCTCCTCTTACCTTTTCCTACAACTTTTACTTACTCCTTATCTGCTGTCGCTTCCTGCAACAATTCTCCTCAGCCGTTCACTACAGAAGGAACTTGACAGAATCATTCTTCTGTTCCCTTACCCTGTTCTTGCCACTTTCTACCTCGACATCCATCCCTCCTTTAACAGTAGCTCATCATCTCATGAAGTTCATGATATATATATCGGTGAGAAACATTGAACCACATAGTATTTGATCCCTCCATGTTTTCTCATTGTACTTTGATGCGAGGAACGGTCTCTGTAAATGTGTGGTGTCCTATGCCCATTTAAGGCATTACATCACTAATGCAAAACAGTGTTCTGCAATTTGTGTAATCACAAGGACATTATTTTTCATTCATGTTAAAGCTGAAATACAGCCACTATGTAATAATATCCTGTAATTAATTGTGGCAACCTCAGTATGCAGACCTGGATAGAAAACAAAAACAGTAAGCTTAGCAGGGCTTCTGCTTTCAAAAGGACTCTAATCAGCTGAGTTCTGAACTCTGCCGTCTGGTTTATTTAAGAAGTAAATTGTTTTGTAGGCTGCCAACCATACTGGTAGCTGCTCCAAAAAACCAAATGGTATGTAGTGTGTACAAAAGGCCACAAGGCTTGTTCTCACGCTCCTAAAAAAAGATTCAGGGTACATGTGAATTCCTGGGGAAAGGAGGATCTGGGGATAGAAGATAGAAGGCCTGTATTCAGATGAGGTGGCAACAGTGCCTAAAATATCATCAGGGTACTGCACATCCTGAATCTGTGCTTCAGTATCTCTGTTTACCTGGCGAATGCTAAAAATGATACCTTCTTGGGAAGCCATCCTCGCTTTTAATGAAATTTGTAGCAATATATGGGCAGAGACTTGGCCTCAGACTTTGTGATTCTTCTTTTTCCACCTTCTAATGTTATTCTGCATTTGAATTGCTTTTCCTTTCTTAAATTACTGAAATACACGTGCTGTTTCTTCAGGCACCATACTTCTGGCCTTCAAACTGCTGGGAACCAGAAAACACAGATTATGGTGAGAATATAGTTATTTCATTGTAGAAAATTAGTGCAGAAAGTGTGTGATGGAAAACATTGTCCTTGAAGTAATTATTTATTGGTCATCCAAACCCTTCAGCAGCTCTTGTTGCTTGTAAGACTGCAACATAAGAGGCAGATTTGTGCTAGCCCAGATTCACTGAAACCCATGGAGTTTTAGCCATCCAGTTCAACAGGGCCAGGATTTTATGTACTGTTACTTCAGTTTTCAAACAGCTCTGTTCATTTCATTAGGGTTTATGGCAAGCAGAATGTTGCTCCTTGGGAATTTTAAATAATATCAATATTGCTTCTGTGGGGGAACACACTCTGATCTGTAGCTGAATTTGATATATTCATCAATAAAAAGTTATCTTATCTGGGCACTCATCAGGCTGGTCAATAAACCAGTATCTAACTGATGACAGCCCACAGTTAAGCTTCTCTGATATATGACATCAAACATTTTTCCCATTTTTTTAAGATTACCAGCTGATAATTGGCAAAAAGAGAAGACTGAGCATAGTTTATGAGCTAATAAACTGCAACACACTGTATTAAACATCTGTGGCTGCAGACAATGATAATACATAAAGAAAATATGTCAATGTTGTTATCTTTAGCTGTCTCTGTGCAGTATTGCTGTTTCTTCCAGAACGACCCTTCTTTCTTAGTTAAATGGTAAAATCGATTGTTTCGTCCTGATGTGGCATTGGAAGAGGATGTGTCTGCTCATAAAATAGGAACTTTTGGAAGCGATTCTTTAAAATATCTCACAGTCTCAGATCAGTTTGTAACGCTTCCCCAAGCAATCATTCTTTTTCTTTCCCAGACGTTAATGATTACTCGTCATTATGGATTCTTGAAAGTATTTCCTGGATTGGAGAAGTTGCCCGCAATGGTGTCTCTCATGTGATTAGTTCATTCTCAGTGCTCGTCTGCTGTGGAAGCTAGTGCAGTCTTACATGTTCATCCCAACAAGGAACTGCTTAGGAGAAAATATGGAAATGTTTCTTATATGGAAAATAATTTCCAGAGATTTTACGAACAGCCCCCATATAAATATAACCGTACAGTCTGAGCTATACCAAAAGTATTTCCTGGAAATATCAAAATAACAATCCGATGATGGAAATTCTGTTGTTTCCTGTAGTGTTTGACAAATAACTGGGTTTCACAGTTAGGTGGTTGTGCTGCAGAGGCATTGAGTGGAACAGCACACCTCAAAATAAAGTCCTACACGAGCTGACCCACAGCTGGAAGAGCTGCGGCTGCATTCGCTCTGAGCCATGTGGTGACAGATTTTCACCTATCCTAGAAATCCCTAACATATGTTTATAATCAGTGTTTGTGTATCAGCTGGGTCTGTGCAGATGGGCTCTTCCCAGGAATTAGTCCCAAACTGGCAGTAGACCCAAATAGAACTGAAATCCCAGCAGCTCTTCATACTTTTTTTATTTGCATGGATCCATTTACAGGACAGGAACTGACTTGCTAATGACAGGTCACTGCCTAGCGTGAAGAAATACTGTGAGATTACTGTCACTTAATTTGGTGTTGTAAATGGCTTACAGATGAAACTGCTCTTGAGAAGTATAAATACAAAGGAACAGAAATACAAGAACTGATCAAGTCTGGTCACCGTGCATAATGTTGCCTCATTATATGAATGTTTTATGCAACACTGTTCTTTTCATGTATTTTAAATAGAAAGCTAGGTTTCCGATGAAAAGCATTCATGAAAGGGTCAACACATTGCATTTAGCACCAAACTGAAACTGCAGGGTGTGTAAAGAAAACCTGAAATTTTCTGAAAAAGATTTGTTATAGAAGTTTCCTGTAGATGATACTCTGCCTTCTCCCTTGGTTGGAGAAATTGTACCTGGCCATGCAGTACAAGAGAGAGGGCAAAAGACAAGGATTTTTTTTAAATTCACACCCAGATGCATGCCAAAATGAGAGCACTGGATCTCTACTGCGTAATTCAGGTCTGAATCTATACCCAGGGTGTGCTGGGGATCCCTGTGTTTCAGCACAAAACAGAAATGGGGTGAGCTAGCAGTTCAGCGGAGGCTTTCCCAGAACGCTGCCTGATGTGTAGTCCTGCACTGGCCTCAGCTGGACCCTCAGAATCCAAAAGCACCTCAGGTTTCTCCAATATCTAGCTATGGTGATACATGCGAGGGATTTTTAAAGGCATATAAAATGTACGGAATAAGTGAATGGAGCGTATGAAGGAATGCTCATATGTATGATACCTTTAAGATCTGGCCTCTATTTCTGCTTTCATTTCAATATCCTGAAATTATTTTTTAATAAAAGGAGAGAAGAAGTACAGAGATACAGAGAGCTGCTCACGTCAGCAGGCGTATTCCCAAAGTGCTGAGGGGAACAGATTGCTAATGCTAAATCTTCTACCAACCCCAGACGCAACTGTGTGTTTCTCAGACTTCTTGTTAGGTCCTCACAGCTACTCAGCACTTTCACATGAGGTCTCCCAGATGTTTAAGGCCTCTGAGAATTCTAGCTGGGCATTCAGCCCTCTCATTCCTTGGCTCGTGTTGCTTTCTGATGAGGATGAACAGTGCATGCACCCCTTTTTTCTTAAGCTCTTGTACTAATAATCTGTTCTGTAATTGTTTTCCTTTTTGTTTCTCCCCTTAGCCATCTATCTTTGCAAACGGACGATGCAGAACAAAGCTAGGCTGGAGCTGGCGGATTATGAAGCCGTAGGTACACTGCTGCTCGAGTTTCGAGGGGGGCAAGAATGCTTTGTTCACTGACGGGATGCTGCCGCCTTGTGTTTTGGGGTCAGCTTTTACTGTTTCTTCTTTAGTCGTGAGAATTGTGTGAGAGTTGATCTGGAGAAAGAATCAGGTACGCGATGGGGGAATATCCCTGGCAGAGACTTTGCAATGTCTCAAAGTATCTGCCAGGTAGCCCACAGAGATGGGCAAATTACACAGAACTTTACACCAGTTTCCTGTTTCCAGTTAACAGTTCCTGGTTTAGAGTCGATACTAACACACTGAAATGATGGATTTTCTGTGCATTATTGGGCAATTAAATCGCGCATGACCCATGACATATCGCTACAGACCTTAGAAGGAAAGTTTTCAGAAGTTAAAATGGGACTGCGCTTTCAATCTGCCATGTAAATATTATTTGTTAGGCTTATTCATGGAGTTTTTTCTGTTATGAAGCTATTGCACTTAAAACTATCCCCAGCCTCAGCTTAAGCTGCACAGAGTTCAGGCAGAGAGGGATGGGAAGCTGGCGGTAGGAGAGGAGGGAGCGTTGGTGCGAGTTTCTTTAAATGCCGGCAGCGTAACAGACTGGCCAGCTGAACTTCTATTTCTTTCATATTGTCTATGCCTTGTTTACTAGCTCTAGGTTACTAGTACAACAGCCAAATTTCAAATACAGAGTTTTTCAGTGGAGTGTTAGTTTAGGAAGCTGGTTGTAGTGGCCTTGTGTGTTCATGTTTATTAGGATGAAACATTTATATTGCATATGTTTTATGGGTTTTTTCAAGAATGAACTTTTCCCCTTTTTTCTTACCTTCTACATTTTGGGGCTTTGGGGCATATGGACATTAATACATCTTTTGGTGCTTTCAGTGAAGGGCATGCAAAAATTGCTACTAGTCTAGTCCATCCGTGAAAAGTATGCATGGTTCCCAAGACTTCCAATCCTGAGGTATGGGCATAAACTAAGGAGTACAAAAACCCACATGCATTTATACGTTGCTTTGCCGAGTAGTTCCTTCTGCATATTTTTTTATTTCATTATTAAAACAATTAAAATTGCTCACGGCAAACCAATTAACTGCAAGTACTCTAAAGATCTATCAGAAAGCAACAAAAGGCTGTTCAGCAGCGCACAAACACCCACACGCATGCAATGAGGCTATGGCTAAGTACTTTTGCACATCGTTGTCTACTGAGAGTAGCAATGCTCCAGTGATGGCAATAATTAGATCTTGGCAGTCTCTCATTTTTCTTGTGAAGATTGCATTGCACAGCTAGAGATGACTGCATTCAAATTTTGCTCTCTTAATTAGAGACAATCAGATAAGAATGGCACCGACTCTTCCTACTCATAATGAGAGCTGAAGGGGGCACAGCAATGGAGATGTAAGCTGAGCACGAGTAAGAGAAACAGGCTTACAGGAGTGGGCAGGAGTCCCATATGTTTACTGCATATTTTTGCAGACGTAGCATGGGGATGCTTCTCCATAGGTATGAGCGCTGACCTAGACTTTCCCGAGAGGATCTGTAAAAAAACAGCACAGGGCACATCTTATCATGTTAGATTCTGCTTGTGTCATTCATAGACCTTCTAGATTTCTCCTGATAAAACAGTAGTCTTGATTATATGATTGAGCTCGAGCGATTGCATTTAATTTTGTTTCTTATTGGTCAAACATAAGCCTGATTCCAATACTGCTTCAAGTGGTGCTGTTTCATTGGCCTCAGCATGTGTACTCCAGAGGGCATATGTGAACGTAGCTTAAAACAAAAAAAATCAAACGTACAGAAAATTGCTTTTGCAGATATTGCAAGTAGTTCTTCCCTGTGGCCACAGTTAAGGAAATCATCACTGTTCAGGAGAGCTATAAATCATTTGCTTAACTGTTTTTTTCCATGTAAATGGACTGAAACTCCCATGTGGACTTAGTGGTAACAGGCTCAAGCTTTACGTCTTGTGTTATACAAGAGGTCACAGTAAATAATATAAAGATTACGTCCGGTCTTGAGACGCATGTGCTTAAACACTGTCTTGAAATAAAGGAAATAAGCATAAAAGGAATGGCAGTAGAACTAATAACGTCTTATCCCTTAAGAAAATTTGCAACACTTAAGCCAGCTATAATGGATAAGAGAATCAAGTTACTAGTTTCGTATGCCTCCTTATCAGAGTGCGCGTGCGTACGAGACTTCGGGGTGCCAACTAGGAGTTAAGTCTGAGGAGCCTGAGCCTGAAATTCGGGCCATGCCTCGAGTTCAACCTTGAACTATGCTGAAGTCAGTCCACCTCCAAACATTCAGATCGCAACTCTCTCTGTAATGAATCTGGACAAGAGCTCTTACCTCAGGTTTAGAGCAAGGCTGCATCTGGATCTAGTCGTTGCAGGTAGTTATTTTCGTTGTTCAGACAAATAAGCTATTTCCTTTTATGAATCATCCTGGTAATTCCCAGATGTCCATGCTGTGCAGCTGCTCGACGCTCTCAGCAGTGACCAGCCCTGCACACAGCAAGGGATGTTCAGGCCTTGCACCTTAGCGAAAGCCTGGAGAGGAGAGAGCTGGGCAGCAGGGAGGAAGGGAAAGTGGGGGGAAGAGAAGGAAACACGCAGGCGGCAGCCATCTGCTAACAGAAATGAAAGTCATCAATTTCACAAAGCTGCTCAGTATTATCTTTGGGGAACAAGTCCATCATTGTTTTATTACTAGAGCTCTGGCTGTCTTCATCGCACTCCATTACTTCTCCCTGACAGGGTCCTCTTCGCTGCAGCTATGGGGAGGCCTGAGAGGACGTCACAACCTTGCTTTGCCGACAGAGGAATTCATCGAAACCAACGCTAACTTCGTGTCTTGAGTTTTCTAAGCTAAAAAAAAGGGAGGGGAATAGAATAGACACCCAACATGATAACTGTTCCTAAGCTCTTATTGTAATTACCAGGAGTAATTGTTCTCACTATTTTCATCTCTTGTCAGGAAAACTTAGCAAGACTTCAGAGGGCATTTGCGAGAAAGTGGGAATTTATCTTCATGCAAGCTGAGGCCCAAGTGAAGTAAGTAATCCTAGAGCGCTGAACTGTGCCAATATTTAGAGCTGTGCAGGGAAAGGGATTCTGTGAAGATAAAATTTCTCCATCCAGGTCTTTACTGCAACTAAACTCAGAAAGTACTGGTAAATTTTAGTCAGTGGCTGGCTAGAAACAACAGAGAGCTAATTCTCAAGATTTGTGGCAGAGACTGAAAGATGGGTTTAATTAGCTGTACATAACCCTGTGAGTCAGGAACTCCTGAGCTAGATTTCTTAAGATGATATTGATTCATCATGTGAGCTTGGGCAATTCACTTGCCCATTCTGCTTCTACTTTTGCATAACATTTTTGTTTTATACAGATGGAAAGAAAAAATTTTGTCCTCTATGTGTTTTACTCTATGTTTGTAAAATGTTTTGAAGATTAAAAATGCTGTCATTTCGGAGTACCTAGAAAGGTGGCTTTTACAGCAGACTCTGTTTGTTTTTCTCATTTATACCAATCCCCGGTCAACTTTGTTGTACCTGAACTCTCTACAGTCCTGCTTGTGCTACTAAATTAGTGTGGAGAACTGGGTACCGTTTACATGAAACATACCCAAACTTAATATTTGTTTTTTCCCATCTTCTACTTGCAATTGAAATCTACAGTTTTTCACTTCTTTCTCTGTTACAACAATTTGAAGCCCCTTCTTAGTGCACTGAGCATGTTGTCATCGTTATTACTGCAAAACAGGTATGGTCAACGGTTTGTAGACTAGTGTACTTAAAAGCCTACATATCCGTTTCACAGAGCTAATTGTCACCTATAAAAATTGAAAGTTGGTAAAGTTGGAGCATAAGAATATCAGTATGGGCACTCTGTATCATTAGAAAGAATTTACACTTTTAGCATCAAATGCTAAAAAATTCAAAGAGACTGTCAGCTTTCCAAGCCTGCTCTGGAGGCAAAGGTGGTTCCTCCTCCTCCTTGCCTCATCCGGTCTCTCCGTAAGCATATCTTGCAAGCTGATGGTGCTTTTGCTGTGCTGATGTGTTGAGCTGAGCACACCAATGAGGCGCCAGACGTGAATTACTGGATGCTGCTGAGAGATAGGGGTACAGTTGCTTTGAACAACCTCCAGATGTACTGCTGTATCAAGCCTGAATTTATTGAGTTACAGCTGTGCCAAGGCAACCAGGTGTTTTTCGGATGAGTGCTGGCTTGCATATGGCCAGGGCAGCGAGCTCGAGTCTTGCTCCACCGGGCAGCGCTCACACTGCTGCCGTGCTCTGCTAGCTTCATGCTGACACCGTATAGCCAGACCCTGTCCTTGAAACTCTTAAGGAGGGTGGCCACAAATGCCGCCCTTGCTGTTGCGGCTGGTAATTCCTCAGGCAGCCGTCCATGAGGAATTTGCAGTCACACTGCTAGCACTGCTGGGGTGCACAGGGGGAGTCAGGAGCCACCCAACTTGGACCTCCAGCCACTGCAGGCCGTGAGCTTAACTTGAAGCAAACACATCCTTGGTGGGTCCCCTGACATAGCCAAAGCCGAACATGACCTTCACCATTCTGTCAAATCAAGGTCTGGCAACAGAGTATCGAGAAAGGTTGTTTTCCTCACTAGATTAAAAAAAACAGATGTTGAAATAAATTTTCCATGGTAATAGGAAAGTCTCTTTTGACACATTCTGGGGTAAACATCAGTGATATTTGGTTCATGACACATGTCCTTGCAAACAGGAGTGTGACACCCCTGTTTGAAAAATAGGTTAATATGCTGAACGTTTTTGTCATGGGGTTGAAAACCCCAGTGAGGAGCTGCAGCAAAGATGAAAGCATTAGTTGTATGCTGACTCATATGTTTATGCTTCTGTTTTCAGAATCGACAGGAAAAAGGATAAAACAGAACGAAAAATTTTGGACAGCCAGGAAAGAGCATTCTGGGATGTGCACAGGCCTGTGGTAAAGTTATTTTAAAAAGATGAGGCTGTCCAGGTTCTAACAAGGTTTTAACACTAATAAACACTGTGCCATGAGCTGCGCAAGGACATTACTTTTAAAGTTACCATGTGCATTTCCCTTGTTCTTCTAAAAAGTCAAGTTTCTACAAGGTTGTCCTTCTAGACAATCTAGGTTTGTGCATGCATGAAACTACTGACTTGGAAACGTAGGATAAATGTGAAATTTGAGCAATTTTTTGTTGTATGTTTAAAGAAAAACAGTTCAACTAGTTTGGCCCAGACTTTTTTAAAAAAGACTCTCTTCTTAGCTGAGATGTTTCCTTTTGGTGCCAAAGTTATAAGTAAATAGATGTGATGCTGAGATGCCAACAACTTTAGCTACATGCGTTCTCTTGTTTAGTAAGCATAATTTGTGGGACACAAACTTACTTAAGGAAGGAATTTTGAAGAAGTTCTAGTCATATATTTTAGAAAGATAAGGTAGCATGTAGATTGTAAACAGAAAAGATTAATAGTATTACTGTCTCTTTTCAGCCAGGCTGTGTGAACACCACAGAAATGGACATTAGAAAGTGTCGTCGTATGAAAAACCCACAGAAGGTCAAAAAGGTCTGGTTTTGTTTTGGTTTTGGAATCACACTTGACACCTGCAGTATATTAGACTTTCCCTATATGGATCAAAAAAAGGTTTTTCAAATATCAGTTCAGCTTTGTTTTAATCAGTAGATTTACTATGCCCATTTCCCAGGCAGAGAGGGACCAGATTGAGTCACTGGTAGACCGGAGAACAGCGTTAGGGAGCTCAGTGCTCCAGACATCTGCTGGCTCAGCACTCCTAAAATTAAAATCAATTGGCAAAAGTAGCTACGTCCCATTTTCAGAAATTATACGGGGATACATTTTTCAGAGCTATTTACCTGACTTAATCATTTCAAAGGCTGGCTCACGAGCAACTTGAGCGCCTTTGACTTCCAGCAAGATTTAGCTCCTATGGGTATATGTCGGTTTTGGAGGTGACACCAGACTCCTAATTTTCATTGACAGTTAATTGCAGCAGAGCCATACACGTGTCCCTTACAAATGTTAAATAAAAAGCAAATGCACTAAAGGCAAAGATAATTGATACTACTTTCAGTGCAGGTTTGTGTCCGGAAAATAAATGACTACAACTCAATTTGCAGATTTTCATTCAGAGAGGTTCATGTGAACTTGATGCACTGGCACCTGTTTAAGCTTGTTCCTTAATGTGTAGTTTTATGACAAGAAATTTAACTCAGTGGAAGAAAATTCCCATCTTTTCTTTCTCTCTCTACTTGGTTCACCACAGTGACCTTTCCTGGTGCTCATCCTGCAAACATCGACAGCCACAGCGCTCAAAGCTCCTGAAAATTGTCAGCTGCATTGTAACGTTCAAAACAAACCCCTTTTTTACATACTGTGAAACAAGCCTGTAGGTTGCAGCAGCACAGAGTAGTCACCTCATATCTAATGGGAATGTTTCAGTTATGAGAGTTTTATTGGAAACAAGGTCATGCTTGAAACCCCCAGGTTTCAGTTAATGTGTCTGCAGACTTTCCAAGTGCAGGCGTTTGCAAATGCAATCTGATTTGTAAATTTTGCCCCAGGCTAAATAATTATTCACATGCTTGGAAAGAAACAGTAGGGAATTGCTGACTTGTTACCTTACTGTTTTATGTATTGCGCTTTTCTGCATAACAGAAAAGTGTAGTAATCCCTTCTGTTTGTGTATTGGTTCGTTACAGTCAGTATATGGGGTTACTGAGGAGTCTCAACCCCAAAGCCCTGTACACGTGCCCTCCCAACCTGTACGCAAAACTACAAAAGAGGATTTTCGAAAACAAGTAAGTAGACACCTATACAGCATCTTTTCTGAGAACTAAGTCCATCTGAAAAATTCAGACTACTGTTGCCTGAAAAAAAAAGCATATAAAGTTATTGAGGTATCAGTGAAACCAATTGTATGCCTTAGCTGTGCTTGATCCTTGCATACTTTTTGTAAAGTAGTCAGCATTTAAAGATAAATATTGAGTTGTGCAGTTACACAGTGATATGAGTTATGGGTAATATTGACCATTGCATCTAGTATTACTCTGCCTGTGGGCCGATAGATTAATTTGCAGGATGTCTCAAAAGTAGGCAGTGACAAAGGCCAGGGAAGTGGGCAGCACGCTGGGGCATGAGCTTTCAGGGAACTGGGAGAAAATTATTTGCACAGTACTTTCAAGGAATGACTACTAACTCGCATCCTTGCTGCAGCACAGGGGGCTGTGGCTCCCAATTATGTTTTCTGCAACAAGCAGCCCAGTGAAGTGCAGGAAGGAATCACTAGGTTAGCATTTAAGTAAAGACAGCTTTTACACCTGTTCTTAGGCAGCCAGTTTTAGGGTGAACTTCTGAACTAAATTTGAACACTAAATTTCTTGAGCTTTTTCCATCATAGGCGACATAGGCTGCAGAGTACTGTTAAGAACTAGTTCACAGTGTGGTATAAATGTGCTATAAAACCATTATTTCGTGTTGTGATGGCAGTCAGTTAGAAACAAAAATGGAAGCGGGGAGTGTGGAGCGAAGAGGAAGAGATCACATTGGGCCCTGAGTCTAGGAACCTCAGCCCCCAATACGTGCGTGTTTCCTTTCCTGCTTTTAATTATCTCTTCTGAAGCTTCCTCCAGGGCTTTGCCAAATGAAATCGGAACTCCTGTTGGAAGCAATTAATAAGCTTCTTCTAATACCTAGGGAAGGGTCCCATTTCCTTCTGAGTTACTGGCAAGCTGTTTGGAATGAGAAATCAATGGTGTGTTGGGATATGATCAATGCATGCTCAAGAGCTCCTGGATTGCTAATGTCCTTGTCATCTCTCTCCTCAGATAAATTTTCTGAATGTGCAGATAGACAGGCATTGTTTAAAGATGTCCAAGGTAGCAGAAAGGTGAGTGTCTCCATCTGCATGGTTTCCCATGTTTTCTCCTCTCAAATATGGTGTTTCCAGAAACAGAGAGCGCACAGCAGCGCACAAAGGCTGGTGCCTTTGTTTCTGTTCAGCAAATCCTTCTCCCTCCTTGACTGACCGTGCTGCCTGTCTGCTCGCCACTGACACCTCTGCACTCGCTCTTCTGCCACTGAGAAAAAGTAGGTGACAGACGGGGATATCACTGTGTTGTAAAGGCAGAAGAAATGTGATTCACAAAAGAAGGAGCCCTTTCACGGGTTGTATTTCCCGCTCCTTCACAAGCCTGGAGTTTATTTACACAAAAGTAATTCACGTTTCAGTTTTAAAATAACCATTTTACTTTTGTGGGTGAACTCTTGAGCGCTCATCTCTCCTGTTAGTCTGGCACAGCTCTGGGGAGGGAGCTGTGTTTGCTGCTTGTTGCATGTGTTGTTCATGTCCATGTTCGTATTTGGGTTTAAGGGCAAGTTTCTGCTCCCACTTACGCACATAAAACACTGTGGGAAGTACTAGGTTTCTATCTGTGCTACGCAAAGCAGTGTTTTAAGAGACGAATGTCTCATGGAGGCAAATCGAGGCACAATTTGACTTGCAGAATGTTTATTCCTGGTAGGGAAGTATGAACAAGAAAAGAACAAGCTCAAATTTAACTTCTTGTGAATGACAGCTCCTTTACTCATCGTTCTAAATTATGCACATTTGCAATGAAATCACTCAGACAAAAGTCGGGATCAGCACACTGTTCTGTAACATCACCTTTTAGAGCAAAGCTCTGTTGAACATGATGTGCATTATAAGGTTGGTGCCTTGTAGAGAAATAGTGAAGGAATTTTTATTTAAATATTTTAAATTAAATATTGCTCTATGAAAAGTTGTGCTTTGCAGTGCCTCCTCCGCTAATTAGCATGTGTATACTAAACTAGGCAAACTGAATGACAAGAGCTCAAAAGTAAGTTCCTATCAGCTCATAAAGTGAAAATTTATCTAATTAAAAAGAAAACATTCAGAGTATTCGTGAAACCCTGCATATGCTATTTTGTACTATGAAATTAGCATATCCATATTTATGTTTTGAGCTTTCTGGTTCTGTCCTTTTTTATTAAGAAGAAAAAGTTGTGCTTTACAGAAAAGTGTTATTTTGTACTGAATTTGCAGTGAATTTTACAATGAGTTTAATAGCCTGAGGCAGTAATAATTTTCAGGCTGGTAATTTATAGGTAAGCAGATCTGCCTCTCTTGAATTTTTACTAAGGTTGTATTTATTCCGTAAGATGGACTCAGTATAAATCATTCACTGTGGACATTCATTCCTGTCTATATGGCACCCCGTTGTTCAAGTTTATAAAGAGGCTACTGATAGTGTAAATAAGTATCATCAATGCCCAAGTTTGAAAACACTAATCTATTAATTAGTTTTGGGTAGAACTAGATAAGAAACAATTTTCCTGGTCTGGAAGGACTTTGGCTTTTTTTTTTTTTTTAATTGATCCCAAATTGGAGGAAAAAAGTAGCTATCAAAACTTATGCAAACTGGTAATCTGGAGAAAAGTAAATTAGATCAGGGCAATCAAAAACTTTTAACTTGTTTTGAAATAGTTAATTCTGATGTTAACTTTCTTTAATATAGATATATTTTATTGTAAATTCACTGAGATGTGAGAGGAAGAAATTTTTAAAGCAACAAACAGAAATTTGTAATGTTGAAAATGTACAGAGGCTAACTGACGAATTTGAAATTGAAAAGATGTAATTGGGATATTTATCAGAACCCGTCCTTTAGTACAATTTTTTTAGCTCTCCTGTTCCAACAGAAAAAAGTTTATCTGCAAAATTCCTCCCTAACGCTAGGTTGAGGGAGCCTCTGTTGTTGAATCTGCAGTCATGATGCCTTCTGTGGATTTGATTTCTAGGAGGTTGTAAGCTGCATATTCTGAAACATCAGCTCCTTTACGGTGTCTCAGGCCAGGTAGTCAAAGTCATTAGCTACATTTGCAGATTTTGGCCTAATGATGCAATAACATAGAGTTTACAGACGAGTAGGTAGCTAAAGCTCTTATTCTGAAGGGAGAAGCCCTCTCATCTGATTTTCTGTCAGTGTGTATATCACCCTGGAAAGGTGATGGAACAGCTCATCCTGGAGGCCATCTCTAAGCATGTGAAGGACAAGAAGGCGATCAGGAGTAGTCAGCAGGTATTCACCAAAGGGAAATCATGCTTAACCAACCTAATAGCCTTCTGTGATGGGACAACTGGTTGGGTAGATGGGGAGAGCAGTGGATGTTGTCTACCTGGACTTCAGCAAGGCTTTGGACACTGTCTCCCATCACATCCTCCTAGGTAAGCTCAGGAAGTGAAGGCTGGGTGAGTGGACGGTGAGGTGGATGGAGAACTGGCTGAATGGCCGAGCTCAGAGGGGGTTGTGGTCAGTGGTGCAGAGTCTAGCTGGAGGCCTGTAGCTAGCGGTGTCCCCCAGGGGTCAGTCCTGGGTCCAGTCTTGCTCAACATATTCGTCAGTGACCTGGATGAAGGCACAGAGCGCACTCTCAGCAAGTTTGCTGATGATACTAAACTAGGGGGAGTGGCTGACACACCAGAAGGCTGTGCTGCCATTCAGAGGGACCTGTACAGGCTGGAGAGGTGGGCGGAGAGGAACCTCCTGAAGTTCAACAAAGGCTAGTGCAGGGTCCTGCACCTAGGGAGAAATAACCCCATGCCCCAGTACAGGTTGAGGGTTGACCTGCTGGAAAGCAGCTCTGCCGAGAAGGACCTGGGAGTCCTGGTGGACAACAAATAGACCACGAGCCAGCAATGTGCCCTTGTGGCCAAAGAGGCCGGTGATATCCTGGGTTGCATGAGGAAGAGTGTTGCCAGCAGGTCGAGGGAGGTGATCCTCCCTCTCTACTCAGCCCTGGTGAGGCCACATCTGGAGTGCTGTGTCCAATTCTGGGCTCCCCAGTAGAAGAGAGACATGGAGCTCCTGGAGCGAGTCCAGCAAAGGGCTACAAAGATGATGAAGGGATTGGAGCATCTCTCCTCTGAAGGAAGGCTGAGAGAGCTGGGAGTGTTCAGCCTGGAGAAGAGGAGGCTCAGGGAGGATCTTATGGATGTGTGTAAGTATCTGAAGGGAGGGTGTCAAGAAGATGAGGCCAGAGTCTTCCCAGTGGTGTCCAGCACTAGGACAAGAGGCAACGGGCACAACCTGAACCACAGGAAGTTTCATCTGAACACAAGGCAAAACTTCTTCACTGTGAGGGTGACTGAGCACTGGAAGAGGTTGCCCAGAGAGGTTGTGGAGTCTCCTTCCCTGGAGATATTCAAAAGCCATCTGGACACAGTCCTCAGTAATAATCTGCTCTGGGTGACCCTGCTTGAGCAGGGGGGTTGGATTAGATGATCTCCAGGGGTCCCTTCCAACCTTGGCCATTCTGTGATTCTGTGATTATTTAGTGCAAGCAGAAGCATAACATGACAAGAAGGCTATCTGGAAGAAAAAGGTTACATGTGAGAGTCATGGAAAAATTCAAGCCGAAAGGGACATTTTCCACCTGGTCTGAACCCCTGCTCAAAGCAAGACCGTCTTCAAAGTTAGATAAGCGCTTTGTCCAGCAAGTTTTGAAAATCCCCAAATATGGAGATTTGACACCTGTGCCCATGCTTACCCCTTTCTCCTCTGAGTAATTTTCTCCTTGTGAAGAAGGGTGCAGTTATGTGATGATTTGAGGCACCGGCATTGCTGAAGGTCTGCAGGCTCTTCTGTTGTGGAGTTCGAGGTGAAGAGCAACAGCAAAAGTCACCCAAACGTGGAGGGCTCTAAACAAGACCGCCAAAGGCAACTGCAGGAAGAGAAATGAAGGGCTTGATAAGTCAAGTAGCTTGACAGGCGAGATGGATGAGAGCAAAGGAGTTTATCTGACTTAAATTGAACTATTCCTTAAAATAAAACCTATATGGCCTGAAAGCAACATGTAAAACACTGAACACACACACCAGGAACAAACCTGTTGAGTAAGGAGGTGCCACTATGAGCACTTCTCAGACTGGCCCCACACTGCTGGGATTAATTGAAGTGCCAGCGCAGCAGCCGGGCTGCTGGAGCACAGCAGCAGCGGCTCCCCAGCCCCCTCCTTTCCCCAGCCAGACCCCCACAGCAGCACCTCCTGGCCTGTTTTCGGTGCAGTGCGAAGCCACTTTGGGACAGCATAAGGGAAATCATAAGGAAGAAATAAGGCAGGCAGCGGTGGGGGAAACAAGCTGCTGTCTTTACAAGAAAACATAGACCAGAATATAGTCTAGCGACTCAGGTCCCATGTGCCTTCTAAGGTAACGTCACCCAGGGCTGCAGTGGGAAAGCCAGCAATCAGCCACTTCTGTGCTGAGCGCCCCAGTCTTAACTGAGTTATGGGAATAAGAGGGAGTAGAGAGACATCAGCATCTCGCAGTTCCCGCTGACAGTGGTGGCAGTTA